CCATGTGACACGACTTTACTAAACAAAGACGGAATCTTACCATGTGACACGACTTTACTAAACAAAGACGGAATCTTACCATGTGACACGACTGTATTAAACAAAGATGGAATCTTACCATGTGACACGACTCAGTCGTGTCACATGGTAAGATTCCGTCTTTGTTTAGTACAGTCGTGTCACATGGTAAGATTCCGTCTTTGTTTAGTACGTCTTTGTTTAGTAACATGGTAGATTCCATCTTTGTTTAGTACAGTCGTGTCACATGGTAAGATTCCATCTTTGTTTAGTATAGTCGTGTCACATGGTAAGATTCCAGCATGACTGTACTGAATAAATAAAATGTTAAATTAAACAACATGATCGTATATTTGTTTCCAGTGGTTGCTTGTATGCTGACGATGTGCTTCTTAGAATCTTTAATTCCTCATATGTGTTGTGATATAAAAATAAGATTTTCAAGATTCTTTCATTTGAAGTAGAAATATAAAATAATTATGTTTTCCTGGTTTTAAAAGTGATAATATGAGACTTACTCTTTTGCTTGTGTGTTTTCACTCAGATGAGAATGAACATCCTGCTGTTGAACATCTGCGTCTACGCAGCTGTCACTTCACTAGTCATGTCTCTTCCCAGTCAACACTTGATTCAAACTCGATCTCAGAAGTTATGTGGATCTGAGCTTGCCCAAGCACTTTCCATAGTGTGTGGTGGTTTCTATTATCCTCCTCCTCATAAGAGGCCCGACAGAGAATTATTCGACAACGAGCTGAATACAGGTAAAAACAAAAACATCTCAGCTCCGATAGCCAGCGAATACAGTTCGAAAGAAGCTTAGATTTAGCAATATAAAACTCCAATCTTTCAACACGATATATAATACTTGAATTTTTAATGCAGATGTGAATGATTCAGTTATTTCCACATACTTAAACCTTTATATATTACTTGTACTATTTACTTAAGCGAGTGAAACTCACTACTTGAAATATGGGTATACAGTTCTCTTTAGGGTAGAGTAAAACTAATTAATGATAACTGATAAAACTAATAATGAATACATTGATTGTTAACTAACTTATTAGAAATTTCAATTAATGTAGTTTATAGGATACTTAAGAACTGAACGTCTTGCGAAACGGCGTCCAGATCTTCAAATACGTAAGCACGTTGTTCATAAAATTCTTGAAGTATTCTATTGATATTTTACTTGCCAAATTTGTTTTTCGCATGTACATTCTAAATGTTTATTTATTCCGACATTTTTAATATATATATATATATATTAAGCTAAATTCCATGGAAACATCAAATATATACTTTTAAATTAGTTTTCATTTGTACATTTTCTTCCAGTTCCCTGGTGGCGATTGATGAAAGATCTACAGATTCCCTCTGACGTCGGATACCTCGACGGCCATATAGCCACGTCGTTATTCCATAAGCGAGACAGTTTATCTCGTCAGACTCGAGGTGTTTCAGACGAATGCTGCGCGAAAAGTTGTACAATAAATGAGTTAATGTCATACTGTGGTTCTGCTGGAAAGAAATAAATATCTCTGATTACTCTCAAGAAAAAAAGAATACGATTTTCACTGTAGTATATATATCTTTTCTCTGTTTTTTCGACATGGTTGTTTTATGGAATTCTGAGCATAAGCCAAAGGTTATTATTTGAAGTTTTATTTCTGATTTGTAAAGTTCGTAAGTTTCACTTTATACACTACTCGACGATGCCTTCAGGGACGAGAAGAATGAATATGATTGACTGTGGAAAGAGTTTACTTATACATGTTTCTGTGATGAGAAATAAATGAATTATTTCAATGAGAATGTCTTTGTTTTCAGTATATCGTTTGTCCTCACAATTTGTGACGTGACAAACCTTACTGTGTGCTTGAACCATAGATACTTATCAGGTTACTGTAGCAACCACAGTTCACGCCTCCTCTAACGGTTTGGTTAGTTTTTGTCTATTCATCAGTGACGAACTAGCGTCAGTTCAACTGGAGAAGACTCCATTTAATTAATACATCTTGGTCACATTTCTCATTCATTTCAACTTATAGGTTATCGGAACTCAACTGCCGTTTACAGTTAAATTTGTCTTTTTTTATAATGTATTATACACACACACTACATAAGTGGTTAATGTGAAGTAATTGTTATGATGAATACACTGAGTCGGTTCATTTCGACATGCAAGATTTGAGTTTTGCCTTTTTATAATGGTTACATTATCTACGCTTAGTAGGAAAGTTGCTTTGGTTTGTCCTTATGTTATGCAACACTAGAATTAAAATGGATCCATGTCAAACATTTTCTTTCAATTTTCTGCCCTTGAATAAACTATTAAAATAAAGAGAACAAAACACTTCATAGGTCATCATTCGGTTTATCCTCATTGACTTGACTGTGGCTAATGGTCCACCTGTAACATAATATATATGTTTCCTTGATAGCTAAGTACGAAGGTTTGTGTTTACGATACTTGACAATCTGGCTAAAGATGCACTTATTACGTAATATATACATCGATTCCCTTAACAACTGTGACCAAAGACCTTTGTTAACATTCTTGATAATCTGGCTAAAGATGCACCTATAACGTAATATATGTATTTCCTTAACAACTGTGACCAAAGACTTTTATTTAACATACTTGGTAACTCAACTATAAGTGTTGTGAATCACAAAGTACGGTTTTTAATCCTAAAGACACTTTAAAAATCCTCGTGCATCTCTTGACAGACAGCCTAGTGGTATAGTCATACGAGTCTCCCAGTGGCACAATGGTATGTCTGCGGATTTACAATGCTAGAAACCGGGTTTCGATACCAATGGTGAGCATAGTACAGATAGCCCACTGTGCAGCTTTGTGCTTAACTATAAATAAATTGTTCCTTCCTCCATCTTAAACTTTCTTTCTCTAATCATTGCTTTATCCTCTTGTTAAATTACCAAATCATAATTTATAACATCAATTCCATTTTCTTTAAACTATCTACCACTTTACCACTTTGAGATGTTATTCTTCTCCTATCTCTTCTTTACTATAGTTATGATAATCACGGTACTTATGTTTCTCGGGTGAGTTCCAGTTTCGTTGTGCTTTTAATGCATTCTTTTCATAAGACTTTCCTTTATCTTTTTAATATTTTTTTTCCAATTTGTTTTCCTTCTGCTTTCATTACATACACTTCGGAACTTCCCACTCACCAAATATGTGTTTCATTTCTTGCCCCTTCTTTTTTTCTTCTAAAAGATTCCTTTCATTATTTATTTAAGATGTTATTTCATGGTTCCAACTTATCGGGACTTTAACCTAGTGAATTTCTGTAAATATTTTGCCTAATCAAATGTATTTATACATTTTAAGTAAGACAATCTTTCATTTTTACTATTTCTCCAATGTAATTACGTAACTTTCTCACGTCACTAAGTGCTATATCCTGCCTTCTAAAAGAGCCGAGTGTGGCACAATGGTTGGAGTACCGAATTATGGGTCTGCGGGTACAACGCTCCCATCCCGTTGCCACAAAAAAACAAAATGTACTCCATACTTTGGAGCCATGTGTGTGTTATAAGGGTGGCGGTAAAATCCCATTATTCGGTTAGACAATAATAGCCTAAGAGTTGGCAGCAGGTGTTGTTCACTCGCTGCCTCCCCTCTAGTGTATCAATTCAAAATTAAGGACGGCTAGCACAGATAGACCTTGCATAGCTTTACGTAAATATCCGAAAACAAACAGTATCCTCAACCCCATGTGCCATACGTAAGAAGATATGTTTCTGTCTAATCTAACAATCTATATATATCTATAAATAATTATATTTGTCATAAATGTTGTTGTTGTTTGTTATTAAGCACAAAGCTACCCAAAGGGCTATCTGGGGGGGGGGGGCATAGCATATGTCATAAAACATTAGTGTCATGGCCAGGTGGTTAAGGTACTCGACTCGCAATCTGACGGTCGCGGGTTCGAATCCCTGTCACACCTAGCCGTCCCTAATTTAGTAGTGAAAGACTAGAGGGAAGGGAGCTAGTCATCACCACCCACCGCCAACTCTTGGGCTACTCTTTTACTAACGAATCGTTGGATTGACCCTATCATTATAACGCTCCTACAGCTGAAAGAGCGAGAGTGTTAGGTGGAACGGGGATTCGAACCAGCGACCCTCATGTTGCAAGTCAAGCGTCCTAACTACCTGGCCATACCAGGCCCAGAGTAATAGTGCCATCATCACCTAGTATTCTCATACAAATATCTGTCCAATTATTTCAGCTTATTCCGCGTTTCTCCAAGATGTTCCACAATTATTATTATTTCGTATAATATTCTTATTTATTATGGCTGCATAATGCAAGCAAAATATTTTCAATTTTATCACCACACTTGCTCCCATTTTATTTATTCATCCAGTCATCCACCATATCATTTAAGTAAATTGAAACTAATATTGGACTTTAATAACATCCTTATCGTTCTCCTTTAAAAATCCAATACTCTCTGACTAATCGTGTGTTTTTTCAGTATATTTTCGTCTTCTAAAAATGTTCCTTTATATATATATACCAACAATAGACTTAAAAATGCCTTTAACTTGAAATTATGCAAATATTCTGCCTAAGGGTTTAGTTGATGATAATATAATTTTCTCCTTCGTAAGGTAATTAATGATGTTATTGTTGTTGTTTTTGGATATTAAACTGCAAAACATGAGGAGCAGTGAAACTTTTAAAACAGTCAGGAACTAGGCTTAGAATGAAATTTAATACAAAATGTATTCAGGTTCAAATGGACAGTTCATCTATAATAATAAAATGGCGTATCTGTGTGTCTGTGACCGCCATAGCTCCAAGAGGAAAGAACTTACAAATCTGAAATTTTGCACCCATACTAAGTGAACCCTGAGGGAATGCACCTGGGTATTACTTAATCTTATCCACTTGCGTGCGCATCTTTTAAATGAAGCAAGCTAGCGAAAAACCACATAGAAAAGAAGTGGTTCCTTATATTACAAATAGAAATCACAGACAGACACGCTCTATTATTATTATAATTAACGCAATGGTAAAGTTATTTGATGATAAATAATTCTTAATTTACTATACTTTCTTAACGACTTTTTTATTTTTCTGCGAAATAATAATGTTTAAAATATTTTTGACTGTTCTAAAAATAGGTTCAGAATACATGCACACTGACATAGTCATCTAGAATATATCAATCTAATAATCCGAGTGAAGCCGGATAATTTCGCTAGTCATGTAATGAAGTGTAAGTGCTTACCGTTCTGGAAGTTCACTAAATCAACAACTATGTCGAAATGCACACCTTATCCAATAAATGTTGGTTTACCATAAACAACCCACTTCAAAGCTATTATTTGAAAAAGAAAAGAACTTGAATTATGCTCCACAGTCAATTTAATGTTAGGATACTTATTAATAAGATAATTTATACATTCATTTTACATGTTCGTTCGACAGAAAGGCTATAATAGTATCATCACCATAATTTCATAGTAATTTTTTTAAACGAAATTATGCAGGGTTTTGAAATAATATCTTAGAAACATATCTGTCACAGTAACTTCAAGTTTAGAATTCATACTGACACCGCCCACTAGAGGTTCAGCGATAAATCTGCAGGCTTACAACGCTAAACGAAACTATGCATTCCTTTAACCAGCGTTTTTGAAATAATGTCTTAGAAACAAATCTGTTACAGCAAGTTCAAGTTTAAAACTCATACTGACACCGTCCCCTAGAGGTTCAGCGGTAAGTCTGCAGGCTTACAACACAGGCAGAACACAGAAAGCCCATTGTGTAGCTTTGCGCTTAACTAAAACCAAACCACACTGACACCATCAACTTAATCATAAGTATCTCTTTAAAACAAAAAATGTGATTCGTTAGCAGCAATAAATATTAACTTGGAAGACACGTGCTTGGTTTAAAACCATTTACATTATCTGATATACAAACTAACCAATTTTGTATATAAATCAGTTGTTTATTGCAAAGCCATAATAGTATAGAATGATTCAACATTACAATTAGCTGTGTACACGTGCTTCTGACATTTCAAATCTCCACGAAATCGCCATTCAAAACTGTTGGCGCATATCTGAAGGAAATTAACTGAAAAACTTGACAAGCTGTAGCTATAAATGTAGTAATTGACACTACTGGGCTTACAACACAGTTATGATTAAGGAATCCTAAGCACGCCTTACTCAAGTCAAAAATAATAAAGAATAAATTAGCATGTCCAAATAAAAACTTTAGATAGTTTGATTTTGTGCAACGTTTCGGGCAGTATAGATCGTGTTACAATGAACACAGTTTTTAACTAATTGACGAAAGGCATCTGCCCGAAACGTTGCATAAAATAAAACTATAACAAATTGTTATTTGGGCATGCCAATTTATTCTTTATCATCTTTCATTCAAAGTTTTCTTCTCACGTCTTGCGGAACAACATTCATCACACAAATCACAATCCCGTATTGGGGGGGGGGGATCCCCCACAAAACGAATCTGCTTCAGTGCCCTTTCTGTAATAATGTTAACTTCTCTTGTAATAGTTGGATCATTTATCAATTTAACAGTTATTTTTGTTACTTATTATGTCGTTTATTTTAACAATATAACAAATGTTCAATTGTCGTTGTCTGGTTTCGTTATAATTAATTTCTCAGTATCATCAAAATTAATGAGATCTTGATATTCTCCAAGAAATAAGTTATCTAATTTGTTTTCAAATTTATAACTGTTCAGTTAATAATGTTAAAGCCAGAATAGCCATGTGAGTTTTATCTGTATC